CCCAACAGTCTGTTCTCTTCATTTCGTAGTATTTCTCTTGGCTGCACCGCTTCCAGTACGTGTATGTGGATTTTTTTTGTCCAATCAGATTTCAGCCTCTATGTGTTGCCATGTCAATCTAATCTGCCCAGGGCCTTCAGAATCAGAAGTGCTGGCCCATGTAACTTAAACTATATTAGCAATGGGACTGTTTCTTTAACCAATCAGATTTCAAATTCGCCTCACAGGGCCAGCTAGCTGGCCCACAATGATGTCAGCATTTTTCCGTCCTCTGATTGGTTGGTCAGAGCAAAACTAGAAAAGGGCTTATGATGGAACTGAAACGCAGAGATCACATTTGCGGTTGTAGTGTAGAGGTTTTGGAGTTGTCTTAACTGGGTTTCTTGCTTTAGTAAAAACGGTATTCACCCTCAATACGCGAAATACCTCTCTCTCTGTAATGCCACACTTTATTATATTGCGTTTTTGTATAGCATTGATGGTTTCTATAATTGCGACGTACAGTGGTGGTTAAGAGGTGAATTAAATCCGGTAAGTCTCCACTGAAGGCACAGGTACCAAATGCACGGCCCGCCACTGAGATTACTAAAGGTCTGAGTACCTAGAAATGAAGACTAACTGGAGGATGACTTGTATAAAGCTGCAAGTAATGGTCTTGTAATTTTTCATTATATATATAAAATGTGTGTGTATATGACTGAGGGAGACAATGCATGTTAAGTTGATTAACTCGGTACCTATAAGGTTAGATATTGTGTAGGAAATGCTAAACACGGATGTGCTTTTCAAATTAAGAATTCCATTTTTTTCATCACATCTATATTTGTGACACTTGTCTTATTCTACGCCTGTAATGCCTCCTGTTCTACATTCAAGGTGACAGACCTGCTGAGTACATTTAACTCCAGAACTTAGGAGGTGCACAGTGAAGAAGATAACCCAAAATGTCGTGGGCTTGCACTACAAACCTCCAGACATTTCAGATGGTGAGTAAATAAATTGTTCAGACCACTGTGAAATGTGTTGCATTAAGTTCTTATTGCTTTCAATAGCTTCTCAGTGAAATTTAACATTCCTTCAGTTTATTATTGCTTAGATGTGGAACCTTTTTTACAATAGTGGTGCTTTAAAACTGCAGATTACTTTAAATTACTGTTAAAAATCTAATCTGCATGGCCTGTTTCATAGATTGAGGGTAAACAAAAATGGGAATTGTTAAAGTGAATGGTGCTTGATGGCGATGAACCCGGCAGAGGGACG